GCGGGGAAGCCAGTCTGGCGCGCTCGCGGTATCACCGCCCGCAGCGTTGGTTAGGAGAGGCTGGGTTTGGGAGTTTTGTACCAAGGTATCTCCTTTCAGGGTCTCTTCAAAATCTCTGGATGTCAAAAACGGGAGGGCAGAGCAATACTTTCGCTCTGGAGCAGAAGGAGATAGACTTCATATTCTGTGATGTTCTAAAGGACACGCCGGTGTTTTAACGACATTGAGAATTCAGAAATGCTGATTTACTGCTTCTGTGCCTTGTGATGTGCAGGAAGCAAGCCTGCTGCACAAGTTTTGTTGGTTTGGGGCTGCCTCTTCCTTTTTTTTTTTTTCCCTTTTGACCCTCTCAAGTGTCTGTAGGTGCCCTCCATGGCTGTGTCCTACCAAACACGATCCTGCCGGAGGGATCCCGACAGCTCCAGCACCCGCCAGCCACTTCCTTTCTGTCTGTGTTGACTGAGCAAGTTCACTGTCAGCTTGGAGTTGTAGCTTTGTCCCCCCGGTGTGCTATTGTTCCCGAGAAGCCTCGTACGGTATTACCTTTTTTGAAGACATAATCAGAATAAAAGTTTTTCTTCTGAACATTTCAGTGCTTTTCCTTTGGGCCAAGCTTCCCCAGGAAGAGACAGGACTCTGAGTCATCTCAGGTGGGTTCCTTTTAGACTTTGAGCAGTTTCAGTTCCGTTGCAAAATTACCAGAACATACACTCAAATGAAAAAGCTGAAGAGCTGTGCTCGTTTAAAACAGTCTCTAAGTGTATCTGGCTCTGTTGTTGTGTTACGCTGTGCTTCTAAGCGCACGATTCACTGTGATAGTTTATTTTAAAAATTCCTAAGACACCAAACTGTAAATTGGAGCCGTGAGCCTCAGAAGAGGAAGCAGAATTATGTTCTTCACGTTGTAGGAGTTTTTCCTCTGGCTTCACTGGTGGCAGAAACGGCTCTGGCTTAAACAGTGCTGCAATTGGTTACTCCTCTTTCTGGACTGAGGCATGTAACTCCCTTTATATTTTTAAAAAGAGGTTTCAAATTTGATTCTGGACCCAGCGTCCGTTCTTGTCTGCTTATTCCTACTCTCTGTGTCATCTTCTGGCCGGATTGTGCAGCTCTGTAGCGAACTGGTCCAGCCGAGGAATAAGCAGTGATAACAGCGTTTCCTCTTCTTCTCCCGACCCTCTAAAGATGGATTGTTCTTCCCCAGCTGGCTGAGTGTGCATTTGCATGAACGCTTTCCTGCCTGGGCAGTGGTGGTGGCGGGGAGTGGGCACGGGGCAGGAGAAGCAGCTTGGGAGCGGTCGGGGTGAGGAGCTTTCTCAGCAGATGCTGTGTGACGGCCGGCCCTAACCTTTCGGTCCTAAGTCCTTCGAGAGACTTTTTCCGATTTCAGTTTCAGTATAATTCATTAGCTCATCTCTCGGTTTTTCACAGAGCGATTCGGGTTGGAAGGCACCTCAAAGATCATCTAGTTCCACCCGCCCCGCCACGGCAGGGACATCTCCCACTAGATCAGGTTGCTCAAGGCTCCATCCAGCCTGGAGTTAAACATTTCTAGGGATGGAGCATCCCCAACCTCCCTGGGCAAGCTGTGCCAGTGCCTCAGCACCCTCAGGGGAAAGAACTTCTTCTTTTGGAGAGCTTTTAATACTTTTGTTTGTTTCTGAAGTTTTCAACCCTTTTTTTTTTTTTTTCCTCACACATCATGACTTGGACTAATTGGTTTGCCGCTGTCCCATACTAACATTCTGTGCTTAAGCTGTTTTTTTGGACCTCACCCCTAGTGAAGGTTTCAGAGAAGCAAATAATGTGTTGAAAAAGAGGCTTTTCCCTTTGAGGAGACCCCAGAGGGGTTGTCAGTCTCCTGCCAGCACCACCACCACTGCTGTGGCAGAGCGGGACCTGTGCTGCTGAAATAGTGATGCTTCTTTCCTCTCATCTGGTGACAACTTTAGTTTTTCAAGTTATTCTTGGCCTTCAAGTAGAAACCTTACAACAAGTAGCATTTCTGGCTTCAGGAGTAACAGAGGGTACCTTAATCACAGAGCCCCAGCTGTCCCCTTAACCCTCATCGATGTGGATTTGTCTCTGGCAAGTGTAAGTTGCACCGATACCGTTTGTCTCCTCAGAAGGAAAAAACCCTAATATGTAGATTCCGCTTCTGATATGTAGGAACCTCTTCATCGTGTTCAACGCTCAGATATTGTGAAGTTGCTTTAAATTGAGTTGTCGAACTCATAGGTGCAACCGCTGTGTAGTGAGATCCCACTGGGACGTCACCTTCTGTCTTCTACGCGAGGTCTTGGGACAGCGAGAGGATATTTATTTGTAGGGAGGGGATCACTCCACTTCCGTGCACTATGGCTGAAGAAAATGGTCTTAACGTTACTAAATCACTCTTAAAAAGGAGAAAATGGCTAAACGGGTGGAGCAGTAACTGGCATTTCTGGTCTTAAAATGCCTTTCACCCCCAGCTCACCTGCGCTTAGCGTGATCTACGTGGAGTGAGCTGCTGTTGGGATTGAACAGACAAGTTACAAGATGCAGGAAAATTAGAAATGAGAGAAATTAAGGGAATAAAGAGGCGTTTTTATGTTGTGAAATGAGACTGTGAAGAAGACTTTGTGCTCATTGTCTATGTAGATCTACTCTGTGGTCATAACAAATCAACGTATTTTTTCTTTACACGTGAAAACCAGAAGAGCGTACCTAGCAGAGCTTTTTGTAGGAGTGCAAAGGATTATCTTTTAGCATTAAACTCCCCACACCCCAGCAACAACAAGGAGTTGAAGTAATTTGTTCCTGCTCACCAAATTGTAGTCTTTCACATGAAACCGTGTGCTTAAAAGGAATCTCTCTTCCATTTTGCCATTAAAGGAGAGTTTTCCAAGGTTTTGACCTTTATCTTCGCATGCCTTAAGCCTCTTTGCTTTGCAGCTTGTCAGCAATTCAGTTCTTTCTCCTGTGTACTCCCAAAGTTTTTGGAATGCTACCCAAAGACTCTTAATCAAACCTGAATGTACTGTTCACCTAGGGAGGGAAAGGAGTCCAAGGAGATGTTTGCGGTGCCACAAACGCTTCTGGGAGAAGAAATAGTGCTTAAAAATGGGATTTTATGATTAGAGACAACTGAGCCATAAGTATATCTGTGCTGATGTCTCCCAGGCTGGTTGTGTGGATTGAACTATCTTCATTTATACCTGCTCTGAATCTTCCTCTTTACGTAAAAAACAAAAAACCAAAACATTTTAACCTGGTCTACAATAAATAGGACTCTTCATAGCAGTCATGAAAAGGCACTGATATGAAAGCAATAACATCATTTAGAGTTTAATGTCAGCTTTAGTCTTGCAAATTCGGCACACTGAAGGAAATAAAAGTTTCCCCAAAGGAAAAGGAAATAAAATTTCCCCAAAGGAAATAAAAATTGCCTCTTCTGAGTTGGAGCGAGTGCTGGTGCTGAAGTCCAGAAGGTTTTAATTTCTCTCCTTGTTTCTTTTCTGTGTTTGTGTGGGATTTTTTTTTCAGCCCAAGCGGTAAAAAGTTCCGAAGCAAGCCCCAGCTGGCGCGCTACCTGGGCAGCTCCATGGACCTGAGCACTTTTGACTTCCGCACGGGCAAAATGCTGATGAACAAAATGAACAAGAACAGACAGAGGATGCGCTACGACTGTTCCAACCAAGCCAAAGTAAGACTGAGATGCAGCAGCTTTGCCCTTGTACCAGCCAGGCTACCCCTCAGAGTGTTTGATTTTGGGGCAAAAAAAAAAGCTGGAGAGGCGAGAGGATGGCAAGGCCTATCGGCAGAACAGAATAAAAGAGGTTCTGTTTGGCACGTAGGGATTTTGATTGTGAAGATTTAGTGGAGATGATGGAGATGTTCCCTGTCTGGATAGATTGACTCGAGTCATTCTGAAGTATCTAATCGGATGGCAGAAAGTTTGTCAGAACCCTGAATCTTACATCTCTACGCCTAACTATTAGGTGTGGAGAATAGCGTAATGCTTATTTTCAGCCGGTCAAGAGTCATCGTTGTCAGAGTGATTGGAATTACCTTCAGTGTTGGGGGCTGTCGAGATATTTTAAGAGAAATGTGCCTTGCTGCAGAGACCAGCAGCTAACATGCATCTTGCAGGCTCAAAATTCTGCCCAAACTTTTAAGTGAACGTATGGAGAGTTCTCATCGGCTTATAAACACAGAGGGCTTGGAATATTTTTCCTGTATGCATCTTCTCTGTATCTCATGAGTTAAGCAGACGTGGCGTCTGCATCCTCAGGATCAAAGTATGTCCTGCAGCCATTTGGAGAGTTGCGTGCTGGATCTTGGAATGAGGAACGGTCTTCCTCTGGTCCCGCTAACATAAAATGCAGTCACGTCGTGAAAACTGGATTGTTATGAGCTCCCTTTAAAAACCAAGTTGTGTTAAGAACCGACAGGTAAAGAAAAAACAAAAAGCCATCAAGCTTCCAGCTGTATTGATTTGTTTATTGGTTTCTGCAGCTGGATTAAAAAGAATGGTTTAAGATGATTTCTGGATTCCCTAAATTCCACTTAAGGATTTTTCTAATTATTACGAGCATTATGTCAAAATCCTCTGGTTTAGTCATCAACAACACTGTCAACGTGCAGACGAGGTGTTCCAGCTCTGAAATCTTGTCAAAATTGGGATAAAACCAGTTTGTGGAAACTAGAATAAGAGGAGGCTTGTGTGTTAAGTACCATGTGAAAGGATGGAAGACTTTTAATTTTGGTAGGTGTAAGGCTAGGTTTGAACGTAGTTAGACACTTTTAGCGGTCTAACTCAAATAGTGTGCGTCATCAGACAAGTTTTCAAGCCCATGAACTCTTCCTTGTTGTACGTCTTTAGGGCCGAAGTAGCCAATGGAAAATCTTTTTTGTGGGCTTCTCCACTCCTTTTGTTTGAAACTTTCAGGGCAAGCCCGACTTGAACACGGCGCTGCCCGTCAGACAGACGGCCTCCATATTCAAACAGCCTGTCACGAAGATCACAAACCACCCCAGCAATAAGGTGAAGAGCGATCCCCAAAAAGCTGTGGACCAGCCCCGGCAGGTGAGGCTTTTGCAGTTTAGTAGCTTCTTCTCCAGAACTAATAAACTCCTCGTTTTGCTGCTGGGACGTTCCCAGAATAAGCCACTTGAATTCTGTGATGCTGAACAAATAGTCTGGGTCAATCTGAAGTCTCTGAGACTGCAGAAGCGATAACTGACAGAGCTCTCAGCTTTTCAAATCAAAACAAAACCCATTTCTAATAAATAATGCGCTGCGTGCACTACGTTTTGTAACCAGACTCCAGCGTTTGGATTCCAATTCGCTTGATGCTGAAATTAAGTATTATCTGCAAATTCAGGCAGACCTCGTAACCACTTTAGGGAACACTTGCGTTGTAATTAGAGCTGCTGTCAAATGTTCCAGTTGTTCTGTGTTTCAAGAAATCCCTGTTCCTTGTACACACCACATACAGAGTGATGTTTGTGGTGTAGCACAAGGGATCGTACCCTGCCTGCACAGGCCTTTTCTTCAGATGCGTGTAGCATAGGTAGTTATCTCTACATGGATGAATAAAGTCATAAATTCACTTGGAATGCCATTATTATGATGAAATCCAAGTGGTTTTCTTACAGTAGCGTGTGTTTGCAAACAACAGAATACACCAAAACGAAAGGAAATCTTGCAGCTTAATTTCATCCAGCACAAGGATGCAAGAAGTGTGCGTGGAACAAGTGTGGCTTTGAGGTTGGGCTCTCCTAAAATAAGAGGTACCTGTTCAAAGCAGCCTTTGGAAGGTGTTCATGTGTCAGTAACGTCACCAACAGCCTGTTGCCTCTGCAGAGCTCACACTGGGGCTTCTCTGAATCCTCTCCTCTAGCGTCTGCCTTTGTAACCTCTCAGTGCTAGATGTTCGCTTAGTCTGGCCTCAGTATCAATGATCAGTTCATTTTAAACCCTTGTAGGTCTGGTGGAGTTAAAATGCACCATTCCAAGAGGGAAGATGGTGTCGATGAAATTTAAAACTCCCCGCCTTTCACACTGAAAATCTTTTCTGCAAACTTCAAACCAGGCTCTGGGAGTGTGAGGTTCTGTTTGAAATGGAATGAGGTGGTCGGGGTGTTTCGGTTGGATTTTTAAACAGGTCATGGTTTTAGCGTTAGGGAGCTGGGGCATGTTTGCGGTGTTGTTGCTATTCCTTGGCTAGTTAAGACAATAAAAGGGTGCTCGGGACAGGATGTCGACAGGCAAGGCTCCGAGCTGGGTAGAGATTTATATCCCTGTTGTGGAAACGATTGATAGGTGAGTGCAGATTGTTGAGTGAGCGCAATCAGTGAGACAGCAGAGATGGGCCCCGCTACACAACGGTGTCGTAATCTGGCCTGTGCAGCTTCGCTGCTCACTTTACTACTAGTTGTAATGCAGCTTCCTAGGCTCTGTTCCCACTTTCCTTACGTGATCCTTTTTCTTCTTTTATGACAACGGCGGAGTCTGTTTTCTGAGACAGTCCTTGAGAGGTTTTAATGTGTATATAGAAATGTATATATACTGTAAGTATAATATATATACACACACATTAGTTTGTATACTTAATTTTCTATTATACAGCACAGAATGTGTCAAACTCGCACTTCCTTGTGTCTTTCTCGTGTGTTACATGTCTCAGAGCCTGTCAAGTTACAGCTTTTACTGGACTGCAGTATGTTTTAAGCTCTAGTCAACAGACTCCAGATGTTTCTTCAAAATTTGAAAGCAGTGCTACATCCCATCAGACACTGGCTTAAAATCCACCTCTTTGAGCGTCCTTGTTCCCCATGTCGGGAGGTGGTAACTGAGGAAGTAACGTGGGTTCAGTTACGCTCCTGTTTTCACAGGCATGCGTAGGCTCTTTGGGGCAAATTCATAGTTTAGTAAAACCTAGATAAAACTACTTTCTTGCAAAACAGATGGGACTCGCAGTTTTCATGGAACATCTTTATGTGTGGAGGTTGAGCTAGGTGAAGTACCTGACTTGCCACCAAACCATGTGTTCGTGGGGTCTGAAGATGATCAAGGACTGGACGTGGTGGTTGTCCTGAGAAACTGCTAGGGAGGAATAAAATGAGGCTTTCCCTTGGGGAGAGCTTGGATACAGTTCTTGTATTCCTTACCTTCTGTGGTACGTGTGAGAGAGAGCAGGAGAGGAATAGGAGTGTGAAAAAGGCTGTCCCATGCTACGTGCACTTAGATGAAAGACAGCAAGACCTTGCCTGGCTGTTGCAGTTCCAAAGCAGTGAAAAGTACCGGTCCCTGGGAGAAAAGAAAGTTTCTTTCGAGGCAGCAGCTCAGGACAGAGTTGTTTTGGGGCTGATTTGGCAACGAGGATTGTTGCCTGCAGATCCCTTCTGTAGTAAATCCAATCTAAAATTGTCTGTCCCTCTTTTGACAGCAAGCGGGTGCTTTGTGTAGTTGTCAATTCCATTTCTGGTTTGTGCCACTAAACGCTTTCTTTGATGTCAGCTCTTCTGGGAGAAGAAATTAAGTGGACTGAATGCTTTTGACATCGCAGAGGAGCTGGTGAAAACAATGGACCTTCCAAAAGGTTTACAAGGTAATCAAGGGTCTGCCCTTAATTCCGAGGGTGGGGTTTGATACCAATCAGCTGATCTGACAGTATTGTGTGTGACCTTCTTGTTCCCCGGCGCTCGGCGGAG